ACTACTACTACTACTACTACTACTACTACTACTACTACTACGACTACGACTACGACTACTACTACTACTACTACTACTACTACTACTACTACTACTACTACTACTGCTACTACGACTACGACGACGACGACGACGACGACGACGACTACTACTACTACTACTACGACTAATACTACTACTACTACTACTACTACTACTACTACTACTACTACTACTACTACTACTACTACTACTACTACTACTACTACTACTACTACTACCACTACGATTCGCATTCGTATGTTCCTCTTCTCTCGCCTCCTCCTTCTCCTCCCCCTCTGCGGTTCCTCCTCCTCCTCCTCTTCGGCTTCCTCCTCCTCATCATCCTGCTCCTCCTCCCCCTTCTCCCCCTCTCTGGCTCCTCCTCCTCCTCCTTTTCTGATGTTCGCATTCTCATTCTGATCAATAAAAGTACCATTATTCTGATCATCATCATTATTAGTATTATGAATATTCCTCGTCCTCCTCCTCCTTCTCTTCCTCCTCTTCCTCCTCCACCCCGTGCCGAATACCACCCAACTTCCCTGGTGCTCGAGTGGTCGGGGCCGCACGGGGCGGCCTTGAAGGGCTCATCCTGAGCCCGACGAGCACCCCGACCACGAGGGCCAGAGAGTGGGGGTCGGGGCGACAAGGACTGCTGCACGACTGGCGCGAGCCAGGAACCAAGTCCCTGAACGGGGAGCGGGGGGCCAAGCATAATCACATACTGCAGGACTGGTTCCTCCTCCTCCTCCTCCTCCTCCTCCTCCGTCCTCCTCCTCCTCTCCCCTCCTCGTTTGGCCGCTCCTCCGCCCAAGCCCCAGCTGGCCCGCTCCACTACCTTTTCATTCCTCCTCTCTAGGATATTGGGAATTCTGCCAGGAGTGCGGGCTAACGCTATGCATAGCATACCCAACTAACTCGCGGCCATTTGTTTCGGCCAGCCCGACTCAACATTCACGGCATCACGGCAGAATTCCTAACACCCGCAGCGCCGCACCTGTTTAGGCGATGGCCAGCATCGCTGGAACTCTGCCAAGGCCGTGGGCTAAGGCTACGCACCGCATACCCAATCAACCTGCGGCCCGTTGTTTCGGCCAGACCGACTCAATAAACAGGGCTGGATTATAGGGCGCGCGCTGGTAGGCAATGTCCCAGGAATTCTGCTGGGACTGTGGGCTAAGGCTACGCACAACATGCCCAACTGGCTCGCGGCCCCTTGCTTCGGCCAGCCCGACTCAACCTCGCGGCAGGACTCTTGGCGCCCGAAGCGTCGCACCTGTTTAGGCCAGGTCGCTGTGCGCACCTCCACTCCACTTGTCCTGCTCGTCTCCAGGTGGGGACCTCGGCCGGCCGGCCTTCGGTCGAGGCTGCATCTGCGCGCCCGCGGGCGAGGAGAATCGCAGGCGCGGGCTCCAGCACAGAGCGCGTACTAGGCTAACAATCATATTAAGTAGGATAACAGCTTCGGCAACATGCGGCAGTACACGTGAGGTCCCAGCAATGTTAATCTCACGTTGTTCCATGAAGTGCGTTGCATCGCGCTCCGAGGTGTCACTCGGCACGCAGACGCACTTGCTGCGCGTGGAGCTGCCTAAGTGCAGCAAGATGTGGGGGCCTCTTGGTGCCTTCTTCGCACGCAGACGCACGTGCTGCACTTGACGCCGCCTGAATGCAGCAAATGTTGGGAGCCTCTTGGAGTCTTCTTCAGCACTTTGCGTTGCCTGTTGCTGCGCTGCATCGCATCGCGAAGCCTAGCAGCGCCTCGCTGCCACAAAATCTAGACCCAAAAGGCTTCGAGGAGGGGCAGGATTTGTCCGCCCTGACGGGCGCGGCAGCAGTGGCAGGGCAGTAGAGCAGAGCGCAGCATTATCATGGGCGATATCCTCCCTTTCAGCGTGCTGCTTCAGCTCTGGCAAGAGTTGGAAGCGCCCGAGAGCCAGGCCACCTCCTCTTCCTCCGCATCGTCCTCCGCCGCACCCCCCCCCAGAGGGGATGGGCTGCCCGCGGTCGCAGGCGCGGCCTTCAGCTGAGACCCACGCTTCGTCTCACCGCGGTTTAGCTTCATTCACTTCGCCTTGCTACTGTTAGCTCTCTCTGGCAACCTGCGCCGGGGCGTGGCGGAGCCACCCCCATCCCCCCCCCCCTCCTGCCACGCCGACCTCAAAGGCCCAATTCGGCATGCACCCGCACGAATGGCGTTAGCCAGGACGGCTGCCCGACTGGCGCTAGCCAGGACCAAGGTCCCTCAGCGGGGCAAGGGGCGCCAAGCATAATCACGCATTGCAGGACTGGCTCTTCCTCCTCCCCCCTCCTCCCTCCTTCGCCTCCTCCTCCTCTCCCCTCCTCGCTTGGCCGCTCCTCCGCCCAAGCCCCAGCTGGCCCGCCCCACTGCCTTCTCACACCCCCTCTAGGACCTTGGGAATTCTGCCAGGACTGCGGTTTAAGGCTATGCACAGCATGCCGAACCAGCTCGCGGTCCGCTGTTTCGGCTAGCCCGACTCAACATTCACAGCGCGATTCCTGCCACCCGCAGCGCCGCACCTGTTTAAGCCAGGGTCGGCATCGCTGGAACTCTGCCAGGGCTGTGGACTAAGGCTACGCACCGCATACCCAATCAACCTGCGGCCCGTTGTTTCGGACAGACCGACTCAACAAACAGGGCTGGAGCTCAGGGATTAAAGGGCGCGCGCTGTTAAGCAATATGCTGGGAGTTCTGCCAGGACTCTGGGCTAAGGCTACGCATGGCGCACCCAACTAGCTCGCGGTCCGTTGTTTCGGCCAGCCCGACTCAACATTACGCCAGGATTCTTGGCATCCGCAGCGCCGCACCTGTTTAGGTTTGGTCGCTGTGCGCACCTCCACTCCACTTTTCCTGCTCGTCCCCCCCAGGTGGGGACCTCGCCGGGCTCGTCTTCAGTCGAGGCTGCAGCTGCGCGCCCGCAGGCGAAGAGGTTCACAGGCGCGGGCTCCCGCACAGAGCGCGTACTAGGCGAACGGTCCCACATGGCGCCGACTAAGTGAAGCCATATGTGGGGGGGCCTCTTGGAGTCTTCTTCGCACGCAGGCGCACTTGCTGCACTTAGCGCTGCCGAAGTGCAGCAATTGTTGGGGGCCTCTTGGAGCCTTCTTCAGCACTTTGCGTTTCCAGCTGCTGCGTTGCATCGCATTGCGTAGCCTAGCAGCGCTTCGTTGACACCAAATCTAGATTCCAAGGACTTCGAGGAGGGGCAGGATTTGTCCGCCCTGTCGGGCATGGCAGCAGTAGCAGGGCAGTAGAGCAGAGTGCAGTATTATCATGGGCGACATCCTCCCATTCAGCGCGCTGCTTCAGCTCCGGCAAGAGTTGGAAGCGCCCGAGAGCCAGGCCACCTCCTCTTCCTCTGCTTCGTCCTCCGCCGCACCCCCCCCAGAGGGAATAAGCTGCCCGCGGTCGCGGGCGCGGTCTTCAGCTAAAGCCCACTCTGCGTTTCACCGCGGCTTAGCTTCATTCGCTGCGCCTTGCTCCTGTTAGCTCTCTCCGGCAAGCTGTGCTGAGGCGTGTCGAATCCATCCCAATCCACCCCCCCTCCTGCCACGCCGACCTCCCCACCATCCCCCAGCCATGGGCCACCCTCCACCGCGCTCCTCCAGACACCCTGTTGCAAGGTGCTGGCTGCAAACCTGTGGAGGCCCCCGCTCAAGGAGGGCAGGGGGGCCTCTCATGTGCGCGGCAGGGGTCGGCTACTCTAGCGTCCGCCGGTTTTGCCATCTGCACGCAGACGCACTTGCTGCACTTAGCGCTGCCGAAGTGCAGCCACATGTGGGGGGGCCTCTTGGAGCCTTCTTCGCACGCAGGCGCACTTGCTGCACTTAGCGCTGCCTAAGTGCAGCAATTGTTGGGGGCCTCTTGGAGCCTTATTCAGCACTTTGCGTTTCCTGTTGCTGCGTTGCATCGCATTGCGTAGCCTCGCAGCGTCTCGCTAGCACCAAATCTGCTGTTCTGAACCCCTTGCGAGAGTTTTCCGAGGACGCACGGGGCGCCACTGAGGGCGCGCTTTCCCCGCGCGCCCGAGAAGCACCTCTGAATATCCTGCATGTGGCAGGGCTGCCGCCGCAGTAAATACGCCCACCAGAGCCCTGACCTGTTGCCAGGGAACTCTCCCCCATCCGCCGCAGGCCTGCAGTGGCTGCAGGGCGACCGCGGCGCAGTCCAAGTGGACAGCACTTCCCAGCTGGCCCGCCTTCCTCGTCGGTCCACTCGAACGAAGGATTGCCAAAAAACGAAGGATTGCAAAAAAAACCGAAGGATTGCAGAAAAAACCAAAGGATTGCATAAAAAAAACAAGGATTGCAAACAAAAACCTCCCTTGAACGAATGGTTTTTTGCAATCCTTCCCCTCTCCCCAGCGTGACATCCCCCACCGCTCTTTCCCTCCTTCCTCGAGCTCCCGCTCCGCCGCCCGTCTGCTAGGCCCGATTCACTGCCTCCCCCGTTCCCCCTCTCTAAGGAAACGCATCAACCTGGGAAAACTTCCGCCTCCCCCCTTCGCAACACTTCGCCCCTGCTCGTCGGCACCTCCCCCCCCAAACTTCGGGGGAGGGCAGGGTCGGTAAGCCGCCAGAAGGTGGCTGCTGCGACCGCTACGCGCAGACTGCCGTCCTCTAGGAAACCGTACTGGGGGTTGCTAGCCCAGGCTGGCCCCCATCTAGCAAACCCCACAGCAGGCTGTGAGCTGGGGGGTCCCCAAGCAAAGAGTGCCCCCCATCAACAATCCCGCGGACTTTCCTGTTTCACAGAGTAACTGTTAATGGTAGAACGCTCGCAGACCTGGAAACAAGGTCAGTGATCCTCCTCCTCCTCCTCCTCCTCCTCCTCCTCCTCCTCCTCCTCCTCCTCCTCTTCCTCCTCCTCCTCATCATCATCATCATCATCAGCATCATCAGCAGCAGCATCCGCATCATCATCATCATCATCATCATCATCATCATCATCATCATCATCATCATCAGCATCATCATCATCTTCATCATCATCATCATCATCCTCATCAGCAGCAGCATCAGCATCAGCATCAGCATCAGCATCAGCATCATCATCATCATCATCATCATCATCATCATCATCAGCATCAGCATCATCGTCATCGTCATCGTCATCAGCATCAGCATCAGCATCATCATCATCATCATCAGCATCAGCATCATCATCATCATCATCATCATCATCATCATCATCATCATCATCATCATCATCACCAGCATCATCATCAGCATCATCATCATCCTGCTCCTCCTCCTCCACCTCCTCCTCCACCTCCTCCTCCACCTCCTCCTCCTTAGCGGGGGGAGGAGGAGGAGGAGGAGGAGGAGGAGGAGGAGGAGGAGGAGGAGGAGGAGGAGGAGGAGGTCGCCCCTGGTTTGGTTGCTGGGTGGTGTCGCTCTCGGCCTGCAGCTCTCGGCATCCCCGTTCTGGACAATCACGTTCCACGACTCGCACAGTAACTACTCGCAAGTGGCCTGGATCCGCCCCGTCGGATTTACGATCCATTTCACAGATAAATACATGTCTTTCGGACGTGGAACGCGCTCTGGGTCCTCGTTCTCCTCCTCCTAGCCTGAGGAGGAGGTGGAGGAGGAGGAGGAGGAGGAGGAGGTGGAGGAGAGGAGGACGAGGAGGTCGCCCCTGGTTTGGTTGCTGGGTGGTGTCGCTCTCGGCCTCCCCGCTCTGGACAAGCGCGCTCCACTACTCGCACAGCTAACTACTCGCAGGTGGCCTGGATCCGCCGCGGGGGAGCCATGATCCATTTCATGGATGAAAACATGCTGTTGTTCGGACGTTTGCGAGTAGTCGAGTAGGGGATCGACTGCAGAACTGACTTGCCCCACAACTGCTTGTTCGCCGAATCCATGGAAAGTGGTTACGTCTTTTTGTGGATTCGACGAGGAATCAATTGTGGGGGTGATCAATTCTGTACTCGATCCCATAGTCCAAGTAGGCACTTTGCGAGTAGTGGACCGCGCTCTGTGACTCTCCGTGCCCCTGTCTCCCTCGACGCACCAGGGCGATATCGAGCTCGGCTGGAGCGCCCGCAGACAGCACGTGCACCCTCCACTGGCACTTCGAGTAGGGGATCGACTAAAGAATTCATCTACTGTAAAATTGATTGCCTCGTCGAGGGTCTACAAAAAATGTTTTTTTCGTGGACTCGACGAAAAAACAATTCGGGGGAAGGTAAATTCTGTAGTCAAGCCCCTACTCGAGCACTGCCGAGCCACCAAAAGGGCAGCGTGCGCGTTTGAAGTGCGAGTCGACGCAGTAATGCCGGAGGGAAGAATAGAAGGACACGGAGAGTGTGAAATACGCAGACTGTCCTGGGAAAGCCGCGGAACCCGTTGCAGATTCAAGAGCCGCAGCTGCGACTCTGTTCGAAGTCAGTGAACGGGCCCGAGACCAGAAGGGAGAGGGAGAGGTGCCCTGTGAGCGTGGCCGAGATTGCCCTGCGAGAGAGGCGTGAGTTACTCCGCTGCTGATGTCGCCGCGCCGTTTGCTCTCGACGCGCCCAGGTGGACGACGCCGACACCACGGCTAGGGAGCCCACAAAGGACGTACGCGCCCAGCTATGTACATGAACACGGCGCCTCGATCTGCGAGACCGGCCGCGTGATGCGAATTTTCGGGCGATGCGTACTCTCGAAACCAGCGATGATTCATGTACGTGTACGTCCTTCTTTCGCTCCTGAACGGCAAGCCCGCGGCAAAGCCTGCGTCCCGCGCCCAAAGAGACGACGCTGGCACCGCGGCAGACCGCAGGGCAAACCCACCGCGCCCAAGGCGGCGTTCGCCCTGGTGGTCACGGCGCCCTCCCCGAGGTGAAGGGCCGCGCGTCGGAACGAACGGCGCTGCGACATATGTGGTTCAACAGATTGTGTCGCGGACCCACTGACCCAGGTCAATCCAGACCGGGGTGAGTCGGACCTTGCAGTAGCCCGCAGGATCCTGCAGGATCCTGCACACCAAACCGGGTCAATGCAACCCTGGCTACGCAGAATCCTGCAAAATCGGGCGCTCTGGCTGACCCGCGTTTGCACTGACCCCCGTCGCTAGTCTCAAGGCTCCCGATTGCTGATGCTCATTCTGGAGACCTTTCTGGAGACAGTCGATCCACTTGTGCGTCGGAGCTGCGTCGAACGTCCGTCGACTTGAGCCGACCGTGAGTCGAACCTGAGTCGAATCTGAGTCGAACCTGAGTTGAACCTGAGTCGAACTTGAGTCGAACTTGAGTCGAACTGGGGTCGAACTAGAGTCAAACAGATCCGTTAAGCGGGCCCCAGGAAGGTCCCCCAAATGAGCATCTAACGATTGCGTGCGCCTCAGAGCATGTGCCAGGCCAGGTGCCCAAACGGCTCCCCGAGAGCCCCCACCCGGAGGCCCCCCCGCAGGCCCCCGGGGGCTGGAGACCCGCGGAGGCACCCAGGGCACGGTGACAAACAACATGGGTCGGAGACCATACAGTCGGATCTGATTGACACAAGACCCTTCCCAGGGCCACACTGCGATAGGAATGTAGGAGGCACGGGTCGCGAGACAGAGGACACAAGGGTATCTTTGAGTTAGCAGGGTCGACCTACGAATCAGGACCGACTGTTGGACACATCAGAGTGTCCGACTTCCCAAAACTGCTTCTCGGCATGGAAACCAGCACAAGTAGTAACTGGCAGAATGCAGATTGGCACGACAACAAGAAGCACACACGCAGTCGGACCTAGGCCCGAAGAACATCCCTCAAGAACGTGAGACCCTCCACCGGCCAAAACACATAGAGCATCCAAGAAAACCCCCTCCCCAGGATGCACCAGAACATCCAACAAGCACGAAGAACACTAGGGCACCCTCCCCGAACCGACCTCGATCTTATACCTCGGTCCGACCGTAAGAATCATTAAACTGTCCCACTGCCCAAAACTGCTTCTCGGCATGAAGACAAGCACAAGTAGTGACTGGCGGAGTGCAGAGTGGCACAAGAAGCACACACCTTCCAAAAAGCAGAGGGACATGCATGCACTTGCGTTTCGCATCCTGAATAAATGAAGGGGTGAGGTCGATTTCGTGTCGGCCACTCGCTTTGGTCCAACTCCGCTCGGGAAGCGCCCACCTGGACTTGGCCAGCGGGGCCTGAGGGCAGATGACCTGCGGCCTCCAGTTCTGGGCGGCGAACTTGTGAGGAACGACTGCTTAGGCAGGTTGCAGTTGCCGCAGCCACCGCACCTTTTCGCATGGGGCACCGGCATGGCCGCGGCAGCCACCAGCTTCCCGTACGCTGGCGGCTTTACGAGCGTACTTTGGGCGGCGCGCATGTGGGGCGCCCGCCGCGCCATGTATCGGTGGACGAGGGTCAAGCTCCCCGCAAGAGAACGGACCCAAATGAGCCGCATGAAGTCCCCGACTTCCCATTCCAACTCCGAGCCGTCCTTCTGGACACACTTGTCCCCGGTATCGGGCCGGTACATGAAGATGGTGTTCGTCCCAGTGGCTTCCGTTTGCGCGCTCAGGGTGTTGAGCATGATCCACTCATCGTCTGGGGGCACTTCCACCCTCAGACTCGCCGCGGCTGGGGCAGAGGCCGTGCAGTTCGCCATGATGCAGCCGAAGCAGGTGACGTCGCGCGACCACCTGTTCGCAGTGAGCTTGCCGGCTCAAGATGGAGACAACCAGTGTGCGGCTTGGGAGGCGGGGGAGTCGATGCCATCAATCCGGGGCGCAGCTGAGCCCCTGCAGAGGAAAACGATGGCCGGCGTGCTGAGCATCGCCGTGATGCACTCGTCGGGCGCGTCGAGGTCGACGTAGCGCACCCCGGGGACGAAGCTGCTGCACCGGGCCACGCAGCTTTGGCAGGGCAGGCCGGGCGGGGCGCACAGCGGGATGCGGTGCGGAAGCCGGTTGACTGTTCCCCTTCGGGGCGCAAAATGCGGCACGTCGCCCGTTGTACTGCTGCTGGGGGTCGGGGAGCTTCAACCCAAACGGATGTTCAGCCATTCAGGCTTAAGTCGGGCCTGTCCCCCTACAGGGGGATTCTCGAACCAACAAGTTGAAAGTACCCCAAAGATAATCCAAAAAAAGACCAAAAGTAGTCTGGGGACTATTTGTTTAGTATTTTTTGACCTTTCTGGTATATTTTTGGGCTTTTTTATGTTTCGTCGAAAATCCCCCTGTAGGGGGACAGGCTCGACTTAAATTTAGGCTGAGGCCGAGCCAGGCTCCCGAACAGCGGCCTTCAGGAGGCCCCGCGCGTGGCCAGCGCTGCCGCGGCGCTTGGCCCCCAGGGCCCGCGAGGTGCGGGGAGGGCGGCGGTGCTCGGGTGCTTCGGGCTGCCCGAGGCAAGCCTGGCCCAGGCACGCGCGAGAAAGGCCACGGCGCGGCCGCGTCCGCGAATCTCCTCCTCCTCCTCTCCTTCCTCCTCCTCCTCCTCCTCCTCCTCCTCCTCCTCCTCCTCCTCCTCCTCCTCCTCCCCTCCTCCCCCTTCTCCTCCTACTGCCTTCTCCCCCTCCTCCTCCTCCTCCTCCACCTTACCCCGAGATCCGGCGGCTCGGTTTGGTCAGGGCGGGAGCGCCCCCGGGCCCCCAAAAACTTCCCCAGGGCCCGACTTTCTTCATCCAGGGCCGTGGTCTGACAGCCCTCAGGGCCCGACGCCGGCCTCCGAAGTTGCAAAAAAAGATGGTGATGAGCTTGCCGCCTCGGTGCTTTCATCTTTTTTCTCCAGAAGAAGCAGTCGGAACAAATTCAGCTGTGCACTGATAGCTGTGATTGATAGCATTGATAGCTGTGCAACGGCACAATGAAACCGTCTCGGTGCTTTCAGGCTGGATGTCTTCTGGTGGGCGCGGAGGACGCAGGAGTCCGAGGGCGTCGAGCTGGGCGTGGCGGCCAGCCAGGGGCGACGGCGGGCTGTGCCGAGGGCGGCTGGGCAGCCCTCCACGTTTAGATAGCCGTCGGGCTGCCTGCCCTGGACGTGGCGCGGGGCCGCACACCAGACCATGCCATACATCCTCCTCCCTGCTCACACCTCCTCCTCCTCCTCCTCCTCCTCCTCCTCCTCCTCCTCCTCCTCCACCTCCTCCTTTTCCTCCTCCTCCTGCTCCTCAGTCCTACCCCCTCCCCCATCGCCCGACGAGGAAGAGGAGGGGCGGGAGGAAAGGAGGGTGGGCGGAGGAATATGAAAGATCGATTGGCCTGGCTCCGAAGAGGCATGTCCCAAAAGAGGAAACAGGTGAACACACACACACACACACACACACGTATGTACACATAGAGAGAGAGTGTAGAGATGATCCTTCGCAGCCGGTTGGTCAATCGCAGCGAGAGCATTAGCGGGACGCGCTCAGAGTGATTACTATCGAACGTGTGCCGCTTAGGGTCAGACCGACGAGCGGGTAGCGGATGCAAGTGAGAAATGCAGAAGGTCATGCACGCAAGGCAGTGGCATACAGAGAACGCCCAGAAGCTTCGTGTGGGAAGAGTCCTCGTATGCGGCCCGCTCAGGGGCGCGTGCAACGAGGAAGGACAAGAGGAGGGTGACTGCGGCGGCGGTGTCCGCCAAGAGAAGCGGCGCGTGATACGCACACGCACGCACAGACGCGCGCGCGCGCGCGGGCGCCCGCTCTGCGCCGCGCTGGTCACGGGTTATAAGGCAGCGAGGCAGTGGCCACACGAAGGAAGCGCCCCAGGCCCGGCAGGTGCAGACCACGAGCGGCGAAGACCATCCACATCCGCGCCCGCGCGGTCTGGACTCCGGGGGCGATCTCCTGCGGCCGCGGCGGGTCGCGCGGCGGCGCCCCGCGCGGCGGCGCCCCGCGACCAGAGGCACCCCCCGCAGCCGCGGGGGTCGGCGCCCCCGGCGCCCCGCCCGCGAGGGCCCGTGGACACGAGCCCGCCTTCCTCGCCCACGGGCGGAGGGCAGGGCCAGAGACGGCGGCAGAGGGGGCAGCCAGGCCGGGCGGGGAGGGCGGGGGCCGGCGGCGAGCGGCAGCCAGGGGAGGCGGGAGCAGGCGGGCGTGGGGGCGGGGGCGGGGGCGGCCGCGGGCGGCCGCGGCGGGGCGCGAGGCGGCGAGGCGGAGGAGGGGCAGGGGAGGGCGCGGCAGGAAGGCGACGTCGAGGCAGCCGGGTGCGGAACGGACGGCGGGACATGGCGGCAGAGGGGGCGGCGGGACTGGGCGCGGGCAGGCCAGGGCGCGGGCGGGCGAGCCGCGCAGAAGCTCTTGCGCTGGGCGCCGCGGCCCCGCGCGCAGCGACAGGGGGTGGAAAGGTCAGAGGAGCGGGCGCGCAGGCGCGCCGAAAGGCCGAGCGATCGGCGCTGGCAGCCGGCCGGGAGTCATCCAGGCGTAAATGAGCACACACACACACATGACATGCATGGGTGCCGTCGCTGTCGGCAGTCGGGATGGAGCTAAGGGGGGCGCAGATGCACACGCGCTACAGGGCTACCCTCGGACTGGCCCCGGCATGCGTCAGCCAAGGTTGGCTACTTTTGCCCCAGCTGGGGGAAGAGGGGATGGGAGCACACAGCCCGAGAAGGACGGCCGACGACGGCGAGACGACCCGTCAGTCCTCTGCTACCAGCACTGCTACTGCTGAAAAGGAAGGCGGGCCGCGCCAGCGCCGTTGGCGAAGGCGGGCCGCGCCGAAGTTGGGGATTTGAGGGCGATGAAACACTAGCACTGCAGGCGGTCTGACCCAGCCGCCCGCCCCTGAGAGTGACCGCCAACTCTGGCGCTCAAGGAAGAGGGGAAGGGAGGGGAGGAGAAGAGGGGCAGGAAATATGCTGCTGCCATCGGACTTCAGGACCACATCCCAGAAATAATGGCGAGCATCCAGAAAAGTGTCGAAACAGTGTCGAACGAGTGTGTCGAACGAGTGCGTCCCGGGGCCCGATACGTGAAAACCCCCTCGACTTTGGGTACTTCTCTTGGTGCTCGAAATTTTCTCTGGCGATCAATGCCAGAGCAGGTTTGGAACATCATGAGGCGGGAGGAGAGAGGGGAGGCCCCCCCCCGGCGGCCGCAAGCCTCGGCCAGGTCCGCGGCAGAGAGCGGCGCGAGGGCCGGTGCCGGCAGCGGCGGCGCATGGGCGCAACGCTTGCGGACCTCCCGGTGGCCCCAGGCTTAGACGGGTGAGAAGCAGACAAGGCTGGGACAGGGACAACATCGGACGAGGACAAGTCGGGGATCTCCCAGATCTGGCGGTCCTGGGGGGGGGCGATGCGGCAAACCCGCGAACTTCTGCCGAACAACTTTCCGAAGAAATGAAATGAAGAAATCATCGAAGTGTTGGCCGCGAACGAACACGCGAACTTGTGCCGAACAACTTCCTGAACATACGCAAAACAGATCTCTGAAGCTTCCACCGCAAACAAGCCCGCGAAGCTGTGCCGAACAACCTCCCGACCACACCAAATAAATTAAACCTGCAATGACAAAACTGGAACCTTAAACAAACCAGCGAACGGCAACCAACACACGCACTGCAACCGATTCGCACAACAAATCGAGGATTGCTAAACACTAAACGTCACAACTAATCGAGAGAGCAAACCAACGGTTATTCGATGAATTGTTGCTTTACCGCTGCTAAACAAAAAACTAAGTGAGATCTCCCCCTGCAGTACAAAATGTACTCACCACGAATCCGCCGACCCTGTCGGCGTGTGTGAGGGGCCTGTCCGTTCAAGTCGTCATCTCCGTCATTCGTTGGTAGTCGTCTCTGTCGTCCCCTTTCCCTGCCTCCCCCCTTTCCCTGGGCTCGTCGAAGCTCCCCCCTTTCCCAGGGACCTCCTCAGCGCGCCAGCCAAAGCGAAGTTGAGCTAAGTCGTAATTGAGTCGAAGGGAAGCCCCTTCCCTTCGATCCCTCCCCCGCCGGGGAGGGGGGGGGTCCCCAGGGGTGGGAGGTCAGATACGACGCCCCCCCTTGGGAGTCCCGGAGCCCAAAACGGAGCCCAAAAAAGCCCCAAGACGGGCCAAGAGTGCCCCAAGAGGCCCCAAAGACAGTCCAAGAGAACCCCGAATCGCCGAACGATCTGTCCAAGACGCCTTGACGGCCTCCAGAAGGCCCTAGAGGCCTGCAAAGCGCCCCAAGAGGCATCCAGGAGCTTTCCCACGAAAGCCCCAAGAGGCAAAATTCATGGATTCCCCATGCGTTTTTGAAAGATTTTGGCGTTCTTGCCTCTTCCGCTTCCCGACGCGCCAAGACGACCCAAGAGGCCCCCCGAGACGGCCCAAGAGGCCCCCAAGAGGGTCCCCTAACGGCCGAAGCGGGCCCCAAGACTCACAGCGCACACAAAGCTAAAACGCATGCGGCGGCGTGGCTGGTAGAACATGCCCCCAGAGTCTCATCAACTCCGAGGCGGAAGCGGGAGAGGGAAGAGGCAGGGAGGGAGGACGACAGAACGCCACAGACTGCTTGGTGAACGCATGGGGGGTGAAAGCTGTACAAGCTGTTGTTGAGGGATGGAAAAACGACCCTACCCTGGGTTACAAGTGCGTGGTCTGTAAACCTCCTGGGAACCCCCAAAGCCTAGAGCCGCCAGGACGCGGCACATCACGCAGGGTTTACCCTGTCAGCGCACAGGAGTTTCAGCGCACAGCGCCTCGTAAACCAGGGTAGGAGCGTTTTTTCGGCCCTTGATGTTGGGTGTAGGTGCACGCCAACCTAACTGTCAAAGCAGGACGAGGGCGCGCGGGCGCTCAAGCGCCCAGGGCGACTGGAAACCGTGCCGATGACGGCGTCAGTGAAGGGGCCCCAGGACACACAAATAAATCCCCACACAAATAAAACGATTCACCATATTTTCCCATGTCTTCTGGGTCTTGTCTTCCCCCCCAATTCCCACACTTTCCCATATTTTCTGGGGAATCGACGATTCATTGTGCCTGTGTGTTTTTTCCCTCCTGAGGAACGAGGGCGCACGGGCACTCGAGCGCCCAGAGCGAATGGCAGCCGTGCCGATGACGGCGTCGGGGCGCCGCCTGGCCCGAGGCCGGGGTCGGCCAGCAGCGGGGGCGCGGGCAGGTCCCCACGCGCAGTGCTCGTGCGCGCGGGGCTCAGCAAGGCAGCCAATTGGGAGGAGGAGGAGGGGAGGAGGAGGAGAAGGAGGAGGAGGGGGGAGGAGGAGGAGGGAGGAGGGGGGAGGAGGAGGAGGAGGAGGAGGAGGAGGAGGAGGAGGAGGAGGAGGAGGGATGAGGAG